ATTTCTGGTTGGGTGGTTGGGAAGGCAACTTTGACTTTTGGATTGGGGTGGCTAGAAGTTTCTAGCATGGGTTGCAAATGTTGCAACACCTAGGCAAAATCCAACTAGATTGGATTTTGCATGTGACACCTCAAGGACCTCATGATGAGGGTTGCATCCTTGCTCTTAGGAAGGTTCCTACCATCCTTCCCTAGCTCTTGGAGAACCCCTTCCCTCTCATGGTTCTCTTGGAGGTCCCCAACTCCAACTTTCTATGCTTCATGCTTGTACTTCCTCTATCAGTCTAGTTATGCTGGTCCTCACCCTCTATACCATCTTTCTAAGTGATTCAAATTGGAGATGGTAGCTAAGCCTAAGGCGCAACATCCTACTGAGCGGATTTGCGTTTGATTGAGAATTAAGTTTGTCGTAAGTTCTCGAATTGACGGATCCTGTACAACATTGTTGTCGTCCATTGGAATGTCTACTGAGCAGTATGGTAGGGGTCCGGCTGCTTCCGAGGCTTCGTCGACGTTCTGCTCGTCCCATTCAGCTTCGTCTGCTGCCGAAGCGAAGGCACGGTCACCATTGAAGCCACCAGTGGGGTCTCATTCTTCTTCCGGGTTGGAAAGGTATGTCTGAAGTGTGAGTCGTTCGTAGAAAATCACGTCACGTGCTGCTACTGTTTCCTTCGAGTGGACGTAAAAAATCTTCCATGCGTTGTAGTACTTTTTGATGCCCAGGTGTAGTCCCCACCGTGTGCGTTGAAAGAAGCGACCGGCTCGTGCAGCTGGGGGTCGGTACTGTACCATGCAGCCGAAAACTCTCAACATTTTTGTGCTGCCCAATTTTCCTGTCCACAGCAGATGCGGTGATGCGTTGTTCGGGAGCGATGAGGACGAGAGCAAGTTCAGCAGCATCACGGCATGGTCCATTGCTTCGGGCCACTGGTGGTTGGGTAGCCGCATGCCACGTAGCAGCTTGCGCATGGTGTTCTGTACGGACCTGTTCATCCTTTCTGCTACGTCGTGCTGTTGATGGGCGTAGGGAAGGGAGATGAGTCGCTTGATGCCTCTCTCTGCCAGGTACTGCTTGAACCTCTGTGACTGATATTCCTCCCCCGTCTGACTAGAAGCTTTTCAGCTTTACTCCTGATTCTCGTTTTGCTGCTGGAGCCAGGTGACGAAAGCTTCAAAGGCCATGTCACGGCTTGGGAGGTTGAAGTGCCAGACGTAACGTGTGGCGGCATCAATGAACGTGACAGTGTAGTTATATGCTCCTTGTCCAGGTTCGCGGTTGTACAGTATGTCGCTGTACACTTTCTCCCTAGGTGCGTATGCTGGTGCGCTCAGATTGTAATGCAAGACGAACGGCTGATGCGGTAAGTTGGCTTCAGGACAGGCAAAACACGTTCCTCGAACTCGTTGAAGCTCTCTGCCGTCGTGTAGAAGCAAGGAGTCCTTGTCGAGTACTCTGGCTCTTATCGTATTGTTTAAAGTCGTGTTGCTTGGGTGTCCCATCCTTGCGTGCCAGATATCTTTGCTAGCGCGGTGTGCGGGTGACCGCTTGTACAGGTCGGAGTTGGAGTAAAAACCGGCGGTGAAGTTGGCGCTTCGGTGGACTTATCGTGAAGTGGGAGTCAGCTGTTGCGCAGGAGTCGGTGGCGTGCCGTCGATGACGACTGGTGCTGTTGAGGGACTAGCGATTGATGCCTGTGTTGACTCTGCTGCTGCCGATGGTGTTACTGCTGCTGCCGGTGTTGTCTCTGCTGCTGCCGATGTTGTCTCTGCTGCTGCCGATGTTGTCTCTGCTGCTGCCGATGTTGTCTCTACTGCTGCCGATGTTGTCTCTGCTGCTGCCGATGTTGTCTCTGCTACTGCCGATGTTGTCTTTAATGCTGCCGATGTTGTCTCTGCTGCTGCCGAGTGTTGTATTGTTGCTAATGCCCTCGTTCGTTCTGCCTCAGGTATGGTATTCGAATACCAGAAGCCGCCGGGGCTGAAGACGGGGTCAAGATTCGGTGGATGTGTCCAGGAGGTGAAGGTCACGATTCCGTCGCTGTCAGCGGTGCCTTGATCTGGAACAAAGTCGAGGACGAAGACATTGTTCTTCAACACTGCCTTCCCGATGTAGAGGCCTCCTCTCCTGTGGTACAGCTTAAACTCCTGTGTGGTGCTATTTGCTTCGAGGTGGATGCCCTTCGCCATCAACTGACTGACGTTGAGTAAGTAGTAGCCGAGTCCCTCTGCGATTAAAACTTTCGAAATTTGCAGGATGACGTTTGTCTCTCGTGACTGAAGTTGTACTATCCCCTGTCGTCGTGTGATGACGGTGATGATGACTTCGCGCTGGAGCTGGTGTTTCTCGTTGAACGAAATGTCCCGAAGAACACATATGTTGCCCGCATGAACTGTCCAAGAACCAAGTGACTTATCCAGATGGCTCACTCTGGGTGGTGGCTGCGTACGTCGGGTTCGGTTCCAGTGACCCGCGGCGAGGGGTACTGTCGTGGAGTTGTTCTTCCGGTGAGTAATGCGGCGGTGATTCGGTGATGCAGGAGTCTGTCAATCTTGCCATGCAGCTCACAATGTTTCTTGTCCCTTGTGCAGATTGCATCGTCGACGTTGCTGAAGTTTGAACTTGGGCAGTGGGGTGCGCCTGTGTGGATGCCACTTGACTGCTTGAGGGTCGAAGTTGTCATTGCGACGGCGTTGACTGCTGTCAATTTGGGCAGTGTGTGCGAGGGTGTCCTGACGTCTTGCAGAGATGACAGAAAGGAGGTACGGGTTGCTTTCCTTGATGCTTGTTCTGCCGGTAGTTGTTGTTGTTGTAGCGCAGTTGGCTGTGAAATGCAAATTCGGGTACTGATGATTTTCTCTTGTGTCGTTCCTCGTGCAGGTCCATGTCTTGCTGCTCAGCGTGAATTTTGGCGCATAGTGCTGCTTCGGAGATCTTCCCGTGGGCTCGAAGAAGAGCTCGGGTGGAGCGCCATCGAGGACCGAGTCCAGGGATGATGACAGTGAAGGAGTCTGTCGCGCAGTCCGCGACAACGGCTGATCTATGCCATTTCCTTTTCGCCGGGTTTCATTTCCACTGTTGTCAGCTGTGCCATGAGACAACTCTGATTAACACTGTCGTTTGCTTGATACAGGCCTTTCAGATGGTTGTACGTGAGCTTGGCGGAGTTTCCATATCCGCGATAAGACCGGATGTTCTGCTGCTCGTTCGGCGTTATGTTGCGTAGCAGGATCGTGTACGCCATCAACGACTGATACGTATACTGCTGCTTGTCGTATTGCGTCCCGTGCATTGGATATGGCAGGGACCCGTCGAAGAACCCGAGAATCTGCGCGCCTCCCATTATTAGTTCAAATTCAATTGACCAGGTCGAATGGTCTTGACGTTTGTAGTTTCAAGACGTGCGCGAATTGAGATTGAACCTGAAGTGCATCGAGTGTCTTTCCTTGTCCAGGTGAAGACTGCTGATGCGGCATGAAGCTGATGGAGCCGCGTTGGGGCTCGTACGGATCAAAGGTAGGCTGCTGCTGCTGCTGGTTTCCACGCGCATAGGATGAACCGTCAAGGCTCATCGGTGTAACTCGTTGTTGTTGTTGCTGTTGTTTGACTGCGCAGGTGCCGCTTGCTGGTGTTGTTCGTAGAAGGACATGAAGGAAAAAAACTTCTCCATCATACTTGGGTCGATGCTTGCAGCTTGATTTGCGGGAGTTTCGGTAGACCCCGCTGCTGGTCTTGTTGCCGTACCCTCCTCTGTCTGTAGGCCAGAGGCAGGAGGTAGAGTAGAAGTAGTGTCAGGAGAGCCGTTGGAGGAACTTCTCTCCTTCTGAGTTGCCATGCCTTCTGATGTCGTAGGGAACTTGATTGTAGTTGAATTTGCCTTGACAGCTCTCATATCATGTTGAGCTGAGAAAGGCCCTTATGATTTGTACAAGCCTAAATTCCGAGTAGAACTTGTATTTGCGGAAGCGTTAATAACAAGTATTGAACCACCTTGCGCTAGTATGTGAGGGCAAGATAGATTGATGTTAGAAAGAAAGTACAAGCTTCTATAAGTTTACAGGAACGCATATGAAAGGATGCAATAACCGTTTTACTGTTGCTGTTGCGGTTCGATACAGTGACAATTCGAGCAACTGCTCAATAACTAGTCAGTTGTTTTTCCTTGCTGTCGCACTGTAAAATTTGTCGAGTCAAAGGTCAGCGACCTTTGACCTTCGCGTAACCTCCGGCTGTTACTTTTCTGTCAACCTCCTCGGTTGACTCGTCGTTGCTGCGCTGTAGTTCTGCCTCGTTTAGAGTCTGATGTTACTACACTCAAGAAGCGTTAAGGGCGTATTCCTAGCTTCGGGTCATCCGGTGTTTGTGTCATCCGAAAATAGTGGTAGCCAATCGAAAAGCACGCGGTTTGCAATTCGACTTTTTAGATTGGATACCGCAAATTTCGGATGACATGAAGTCGGGATGACCCGAAGTACGCCCTATATCACTTGTTTTCAACGCCACGGCCCAGAAACCGCGCCCTAAAACCGAACTGAGGAGAGTATTCCAACGTCCAATTTCTCATTTCCCTCTCATTTTCCTCCGTGTTGGAAAGCGCCCCCGCACGCTACAGGTGGAAACCTAGGGTCCGTGTGAAAACACCCAATACTCCATCTGCAGCATCACAGCACTCGCGCCGCGCCTCCCTCTCGTCCCTCTGCGTCCTCCGTCGCGGCAATGGTGAAGGACGTTCGAGCGCCGGGCTTCCGCGAGAAGTGGCGGCAGGACGTGCCAGTGCTGTACGACTGGTTCTTCAACCACCACCTCATGTGGCCCTCGCTCTCCTGCCGGTGCGCCCCCCTCGCGTTGCGCCTCGCGTGCGCGCCGTTCCGCTGCGCCTCCATCCCCTCGCCCCTCTCCCCCTTCGCTCCTCCCCGCCGCCTGTTTGTTTTGCGTTAGCGCGGCCGCCGGCGCCGCCTTCGGCCTGCTGCGAATGCCGCCACGTGGTTTCCGCTCCACGCTTCATGCTCCGCGCGCACGGCAGGCGTCCCCTTAATGCCCTGATTAACATGCGCCTGCCCCTCCGTACGCCCCCCGCGCTCTTCCGTGCTCTCGCCGGCCCGCCTGCCATTACCTCTTACTGCGCGCCATCCGTATCCCCCCTGGCCTCGTCGTACCCCATCGCGCACGCCGCTTCTCCCCGCGCCCGCTCCAGTCATCCATCCGCCATCGCTGCGGCTGCGCCGCCACGCGCTCTCGCGCCGCCCGCTGATCTGTTGACGTTCCTCCCCGTGCCCCTTCCCGCGCCCCTTCCCGCCTTCCCCCTCTCCCCCCCCTTCCCCCCTCCTCCTCCCCTTCCCCTCCTCCCGTCCGCGCGCCTGCGGTTGGTGCGCGCGCGCGCGCAGGTGGGGGCCGGTGCGCGCGGAGCACGGCGCGTACAGCGAGCAGTACGTGTACATCAGCGAGCAGACCGACGGCACCGCGCCCAACACGCTGCTCCTCGCCAACGTCGCCGTGAGCCGCGGGAGGGGAGGCGGGAGGGGGAGGAGAAGGGGGCGGGGGAGGGATGGCTTTGAGTCGACTACAAAGTCAAGGGATGGGGCGGCGGGATAGTGGTGCGGGGTGGTGGGCGCACGTGGAGGGCCGGGGTAGTGGGTGGCGAGGGAGGTGCAGGAGAGAGGTTGCTGCGGCGCAGGGGCATGATGTGGGGGTAGGAAGGGGAAGGGACTCGGACGGGCCGAGGGGCGGGGACGGGGGCGGGGGCGGGGACGGGGGGTGCGGGCGGGGGACGAGGGGCGGGGACAGGGAACAATGAATGGGTGTGATTATGTGTGGCAGTGGCATGGCATGAGGGACGGTAGGCCGTGCTTGGAGGGTGCAGTGTGGCGCGGGGAAGGAGGGTGGGGCAAGGGCGAGAATGCGAGCATGCTGTGGGAGAGGGGAGCGCGTGTCCTTCCTTGCTTCTGCTTCTGCCTCTCCTCGCCCTGCGCGCCCTCACCCACGCACTGCCAAGAGTGCGCTGCTGCCTGCATTCATCACTCCCTCACCCCTGCGCGCACACCCACAAGCCCTCTCCTTGCCACCCCTCCTCCCTCTTTCCCCTCTCCCCTTTTCGCCTTCCCTCCCCCACCCACCCCCTTTCCCTTTCCCTCCCCCACCCTCCCCACCGTCTTTTCTCTCCCGCCTCCCCCTTCCCCCATCCCCCTTTCTCCCCTCCGACCCTTCCCCCCTCCCCCTTCCCCCCTCCCCTTTCCCCCCCCCTCCCCCTCCCGCTTCCCCCCTCCCTCCCCCACCCTCCCCCAATTCTCCCCCCCCTCCCCCAGGTGGCGGACAACGATGCAGTGGCGCCGAGCCTCCTGGCAGACTTCGAGGAGGACGACCCATCAGCGCTGGTGGGCGTGCTTAAGGCCGTGCACCACCCACTTCTCCCCCGGTGCCCCTCCCCCGGTGCCCCACCCCCGTTTCCCCACCCACTCTTCTCCCCTCCCCCCCCCCCAGGTGGCGGACAACGATGCAGTGGCGCCCAGTCTCCTGGCGGACTTTGAGGAGGACGATCCGTCGGCACTGGTGGGCGTGCTGAAGGTGGTGCACCACCCGGGCGAGGTGAACCGCATCCGCGAGCTGCCGCAGTTCCCACAGATCCTCGCCACGCACACGGACGCGAGGGACGTGTTCATCTGGAACATGGAGTCGCAGGACGACCGCAGGAACGATGCCAAGGGGACGGGGGGGCCAGTGACAAGCCGTCTGTGCCTGACCTGGTGGGTGGGCACGCCTGTGCCGTGCCGCTGTTGTGCTGAGTGTCTTGTTGGTTCATGCGCTCGTTGCACGCACGACGTGTTCATAACATGGAGTCGCAGGACGACCGAAGGAACGACGCTGAGGGGGACAGCGGTGGTGCTTCTGACAAGCCGTCTGTGCCTGACTGACCTGGTGGGCTGCGTGTGCTGTGGTGCCGAGTCCCGGCCGTCTATGTATGCGCTCTCGTGTCTCTTTCTCTCCCTCTTTCTCAATGATCCTCGCCACGCGCACCGACGCACGACCGCTGCAACGACGCTGAGGGGGACGGCGCTGCGTCTGACAAGCCGTCTGTGCCGGACCTGGTGCGGCGTGCCTGTGTGCTGTGCCGAGTCTCGGTCGTCTGTGCCTGTGTCGCTGTCGCTGGGTGTAGCACCCTGTGCTGGGTGTATCTCATTGCGATATGCGCTCGTTGCTCTCTATCGGTATCTCTCACACACTCTCTCTCATGGCTCCTTCTGTGCTGCCTGCCCACCCCACGGTCCTCCACAAATACCATCCGCACTCCCCCTCTAACCCACTACGTTCTCCGGCTCTCCCCCCCCACTCGCCCCCACCTGGCTCCCCCCACTCCTCCTCACCCCGTCCCTCCTCCCCCGACTCCTCCTCCCCCGCCCCTCCTCCCCCCGCCCCTCCTCCCCCCGCCCCTCCTCCCCCCGCCCCTCCTCCCCCCCCCTCCTCCCCCCGCCCCTCCTCCCTCCCCCCTCCTCCCCCCAGGTGCTGCGGGGGCACACGGACGTGGCGCAGTTTGCACTGGCAACAGCAGCGAGCGACCCGTTTGTGCTGAGCGGGGGCACGGACCGACACGTGGTGCTGTGGGGGCTGCAGGACCACGTCTCCAAGGCCAGCACCGTACGCCCTGGGGGGTGGGGGAGAGGGGGTTAGGGAGGGGAAGGGAAAGGGTAGGGGGACGGGGTGGGATAATAAAGGGAAGGGGAGCTGGGAGGGAGGGAGGGAGGGAGGGGGTGTGTATGGGGAAAGAGGTAGGGAGATGCTGGGGTGTGTGCGTGGTGAAGGGAGGGGCGTGTGTTGCAGCTAGACTGGACTGACACGCCACCTCCACTGTGAACACACATGCAGCCTGCTGCTGCCACACTCCTCCCCCTCTCTCTCCCCTCTTGTCTGCCATCCCTTCTCCCCTCCCCTCCGCTCCTCCCTTTGCCCCCTCCCTCCTCCCCCCCTCCTCCCCTCCTCTCCCCCCTGCGCCCCCTTCCATCCGACACACGAATAAGCAGGACGACTCATCGGAGCTGGCAGCGCCGGTGCTGCACTGCAGGGAGACGTTCACGGGGCACCGCGCGACGGTGGAGGACGTGCAGTTCTGCCCCAGCGACGCGCGCATGTTCTGCTCCGTGGGGGACGACTACTGCCTGCTGCTCTGGGACACGCGCCACGGCACCACGCCCGTCAACAAGGCACACACACATGCGCCGGGGAAGGGAATGGGAGAGGATGCTGGGTTGGGTGTGTGGTGTGGGGTTTGTGGGGAGAGGTGGGGGGGGTGGGGCTGCCTGCTGCTCTGGGACACGCGCCACGGCACCACTCCCATCAAAAGGCATGCACAGCACACATGCGTTGGGGAAGGGAAGGGCGAGCTGTGGGGCTACGTTGGCAGAGCGTCCCAGGGTATAATACGCTAGCGTATTATACGCTGGGTATATACGCGGTACGCCAGGGCTGGCGTACTGGTGATACGCAAAAATACGCTGGGCGGGCAGGTAAAACTTTTTTCCCGGGCAGGCTGGATTGTTGTTCATCGAAGTACTAGGAGCTGAGCCCGACGCCATGGCTCACTACTTAAGTCTGCTAACGAAGAAGAGTGGAGAAATGCGGGAATGAAATGGAAGAGCTTTTGCACAACGTCGACCTATACGTGCTAACGATGGAAGAACATTTGAAGGGGGTGGTTGGGTTTGAGAGGTTGCGTGGGGTGATGTGTGGTTGAGGGGGTGGGAAAGTTTGGATTTTGAAAATCGAAGCTCAGAAGTGGGGTTGGGCGCATGAGCGAAGTCGCGGTAACACTTCGCGACTTCGCAAATCGTCGCAATTTCGGAATTTTTTTTTTCGCCGGGCTGCCCAGCCGTATTTTCGCGAATTCAGAGCGTATTAGCGCATCACGTATATACGCTAGCGTATATACGTGATACGCCAGACTTCCAAGAGCGTATCTGCCAACATAGCTGTGGGGGAGGGGGGGGGGGGGGGGGGAGAGAGAAGGGGGCGAGAGGTGAGCAGGACGGAGAATGATGGCATTGTGGCGCTGCGAGGTAGATATGAAGAAGAGCTCCATGCTTCCAGTATCCATCGCCTCCCCCTCCCCCTCCCCCTCCCCCTCCCCCTCCCCCTCACCCTCACCCCTCCCCTTCCCCCTCCCCCTCCCCCTCCCCGTCCCCCTCCCCCTCCCCCCTCTCTTCTCCCCCACCCCTATCCAGGTGGAGCGAGCACACAACGCGGATCTGCACTGTGTGGACTGGTCGCGCCTGGACGACAGCTACATCTTGACAGGCTCCGCCGACCACTCCGTGCGCCTGTTTGACCGCCGCAAGCTGCCCACGGCGGGCCACTGCACGCCCGTGCACACCTTCAAGCACCACCTCGACGCCGTCACCTGCGTGCAGGTGCGCTCAATGCCATGTGACTTTTGAGTCGACTCAAAAGTCGCACAGCTGCCCACGGCGGGGCACTGCACACCTTCAAGCACCACCTGGATGCTGTCACCTGCGTGCAGGTGCGCTCGCTCACTCGCTCGCTGCCATGGCCGCTTGCCGTGTAAGTGTGTGCTTCGGCGTGTGTGTGTGCTGCTGCTGCGTGTGTGTGTGCTTGATGCACGTGCAGAACGATGGGGTGGTGAGTGTTGTGAGTACTTGAGCTGGCGATGTGGATGAGGTGAGGGGTGGGGAAGGAGAAGAGAGGGCTGGTGGGGGAAGGTTGGGCCCACTATGCGTCCACTTGATATGGGTTATGAGCATAGAACTGAAGGTGTAACACCAACTGCAAGCTCTTCAAATTGTATTCGCCTACCCCACTCCCCCCACCTCTCCCTCTCCCTCTCCCTCTCCCTCTCCCTCTCCCTCTCCCTCCCCCTCTCCCATCTCCCTCCCCCTCTTCCCCTCCCTCCCCTCTCCCTCTCCCCTCCCCTCCCGCTTGCTGCACGGCAGTGGCACCCATCAGCGCGGGGGGTCTTTGCGAGTGCGGGGGACGACGGGCTCATCCAGGTGACAGACGCATCACACCTCATGGGGGGAGCAGGCGACAAGGCTGGGGGGGGCGGAGCGCAGGGCCGGCAGATGAACATGTTCCAGCACCTGGGCCACCGGTGAGTGCCGCCTCACGAGAGGTGACTTTTGAGTCGACTCAAAGGTCACCTCGTTACAATGGCACATGACAGATGAACATGTTCCAACACCTGGGGCATTGGTGAGTGCCCGCACACACAGCTGTGCATGCACAGGCGTGGGTTACAGGGTGGAGAAGAAGGGTGGGATGTGAGTGGGAGGGGCGGGTGGGGGATGCTGGACGCGGGAGGAAGTGCCGTACTGGGATGTGTGTCTGTGCACGTGAGAATGTGTTCATGAGGAGGGTGTTAGAAGATCGGGCTGCTATTGATTTCAAGCTCACTTGTGTTATGGGCTGCCTCTCTCTCCGTCCACTGTGTGTGTGGTGAGCAGGGAGAAGGTGTGTGAGTTCCACTGGAACCCCCATCGGCCGTGGACGGTGGTCAGCACTTCCATTGACTCGGGCCGGATAGGAGGCGGCACCCTGCAGGTGGGCATGCATGGTTACACGGGTGAGCTTTACACTGCACTGCACTGCACTGCACTGCTCTGCTCTGCACTTGTAATGAGCTGCTCATGTTAGCTCTACTGTACTTTTCCTTCCTCCTCTTCTGGTGTACTACTGTATCACAACCTCTATGCACTCTTCCTTCCCCCTTGCAAGTCTCCTCTCCGCTTCTCTCACCCACTTTCCTCCGTCCCTTCCTCCCTCCATTCTCTCTCCCTCCATTCCCCCTCCCTCCATTCTCCCTCCTTCCCTCCCTCTCCATTGATGGCTTTCTTCCTTCACACTACAACCCCACTCATACACCTACGCTCACACATCCACACACACATCCACTCACATCCACACACACACCCATACGCACTCACGCACTCACTACACCCACGCCCACAAACCCACACACGCCCTCACATACCCCACACCTTCACACCCACCCACAACATGCACGCCCACACCCATGCAAACAACTCGCTGATGTGTCCCTGGTGTATCAGGTGTGGCGTATGCATGACCTTTTCCATCTTCCAGAAGAGGCTGCACAGAAGAAACTCGAAGGCATAATTGGCTCGACTCAAAGCAAAAAGTAACTGCTAATAGTACTGATCTCCTAATGAGATCCTTTAATTGCTAATCCGAAATTAATGTGGTCGTTCTAGCTGTAGTGCGTATGCATCTACCGTATCTCTTGGTTGTTCTAGAGAGACCACTGCCTGCCCAGTTACTGGTAGTAGACGAGGTGATTTGATAACATCAGTACCCTTTTTATGTTTTTTCATTTGGGTTAGGCTCTTGCTCCATCTTCCACTCTAAAGTTGTACCGTATCTATTTGTACCAAGTCTTAACCAGTTTTAGTTATCTGAACCATTCTGGCCTGCCTGACAAGAAGTTCTCATGCATACGGTAATTGACATGCATTGTCAAAGCCTTTGGGAGCGATTGACGAGATGTGGCAGGTACCCGTGCTATCCATGTGAAGATGAACGATATAGGTATGTGCCACATACAGCAAGAGACGGAGAAAAACAAGTAAACGCTCATGAGCAGCACGTCATGGTGGCTGGCTAGCTTGACAGGTAGGTGTACGAGTGCATTGTTTTCTTCAAGTTGTGCAGAAGTGTTTGCGCCTCTTCAAGAGATAATGTTCCTTCAGCTACAGCTTCCTCAGCTTTGTTGCGAAGATCCTCCATCATGTCATCGGCATCATGCTGCACACACATCAAACAATGTGTTGGATCTCATGCTTGATTCGATAATTACGTTCTGGTAAACTCAGCTTCAGGAAACAAACCTGCACTGTACGAAGCACTTGGTCAGTGGTCTGGCCAGGAACGACATGTTCTATGCTGTATCCACCTCTGTGGAAAATCAACTTCCCATTTGGCTTGGACAGCATGCCATTGCAAGCCTTATTGGGTGATTTTGGCCTTGCACGAACATAAACCACATTGGTGGTCCCAAATAGGTTGTGGGAGCTTCCCATCACCTCCTGCGCAGTACACGGTGGAGGAGTATGGAATGTTAAGACGCGGAATTCAGACAAGACCTTACATAAAGGAGGAATGGCAACAGAATGCGGACAGTGAATATGGATAGAGAGGTGGATAGAGTTGATACAAAAGGGGTTGCAGAGGAAGGCCGACAATTACCTGATAGGTTCCTGCAAGAAATAGCCCAAGATAGTATGGTCGATTCTCCTCCAGCTCATGCACAACAATAACTTTCCCAGTCGCATTGGGGTAGCCAGGAAAGTGGTCAATCTTGCCATCACTGTCACAAGTCAGGTCAGCAAGTGTGGCCTGAACTGCAGGTTCCTCATCCAGGCGGTGGATGGGCATGATGGGGAAGACCTGGCTGATAGCCCATGAGTCAGGGACAGAGCGGAAGACTGAGAGATTCACATGGTAAATTGCTGCAAACGATCGACGAAGAATCTCCGCATCGTCTGCCATCTCGCCCGTTTCTCGAGCGAAACGAAGAACCTCATGGCAGATGACCTGCTTCAGACAAGACAACAACGAAAGAGAGAGAAAGCAGGAGCGAGGAAGAGAGAAGTGAGCGAAAGATCGAAGATAAGATCACCATCTGCGTCTCGTTAATTTAGACAACGATAACATCAACAGAAAAATCACCTGATATAGAGACTCAGCCTGTGCCCTCTGCTCAAGAGTTAAACATCCCAGCTTAAACAACGCAGTTGCCTCCGCCTTGAACTGCTTGGCGTCATGATAGGCCTCCTGGAAATTGGTCTCATCCATTGTCTCGAGAACCTCGTGGAATGTGCGTAGAAGATAAGTCCCTGCTCCATTTTCCAGCCTTCCATGCCTGGCCTTCCTGGGCTTCGGCTTGTCCCCCCTGTGAGTTGCTCTGGAGGCCCGACTTGGTCTGCTGAATCCGGACCAAGCATCTGAAAGTTCTGAAGGGCGTGGGACTCGTCGAAGGTGTTTGCGCTGAGGACATCAAACACAAGGACTGACTGGTGAGAAGCCAAGGCCCTGCCACTCTCAGTCGAGATTATTGGTTGTTTGACTCCTTTCAGCAAGCAAGCGTCGACAACTGCAGCCACGACATCATTGGCGTAGTTCTGGACATACAGAAACCAGTTCTGATTAGACATGGAGAAGGCAGAAGAAAAAAAATACATTGTAGCACATAGATGGCATACCTGCATAGTGTAATTTGTTGAGGCAACAGACGAGCTTCTTGAACCGTCATAGTCAATACCAAGACCACCACCAACATCAATAAATCCCTGCATAATGCCTCCACACGGTCAGCACAGCAGGGATACATAACATGCTGAAACATTGACGCACATGTGTAACGACGGCCCACCATTTTTGCACCCATCAAAGCAAGTTCACAGTACAGATGACTGCCTTCTCGCATGGCTTCCTTGATCAGCGAAATTGATGGTATTTGTGAACCAATGTGGAAGTGAAGGAGTTGTAGGCAGTCCAGCATATCATGCTGCAAAAAAAAACAAACAAACACGTCAGACCATTCCTTTGCAGCACTCACATGGTTTAAGCATATGGCCTACATGACCACCGCCTTTATACCTCTCTGAGAATTTTGACAACCCTCACGATCTCGTTGACACTCAGTCCAAACTTCGCACGGTCGCCGGAAGTTTCACCCCAGTGGCCATCATGCCGCGTGCTTAGCTTGGCCCTGACTCCAATAACAGGCCGTGCATCCAGCCGCTTGCTTGCTTCCAAAACAAGAGGAAGTTCTTGCATCTGTTGGATCGTCAAGAAAACCAATCTTAAATTGGGAGCAGGATGCAGCAAAAGAACGGTGACAGAAGAATGGAACGCTAGTAACCTGTTCAAGAACAATAATGGAATTGAGTCCAAGCTTCCTTGCGACAAGCGCATTCTCAATGTACTCTTGATCCTGCCAAAGCCAAAGGTGAGCACAACACGGATCCAATGAACTTCATCAATGTAGAGACTGCGGGACCGATGGACCTTGCACAAGAAGACACTGACAACACACACAACATTACCTTGTAACCATTGCAGACTAAAATTGCACCATCGTTGTCTTTGAGCTGTGACATCGCAATCAACAGCTCTGGCTTCGAACCAGCCTCCAAGCCAAACTTGATCGGTCGCCCATATTCCACGATATCCTCTAGCAGGCGGCGATCCTGATTGCATTTAACTGGGAAAACGCCTTGAAATGCTCCCTGAAGCACGTGTCGACGCAATTGTTAATGCTAAGCGCCACAGCCTCACTGGTGAGCTCGACCTCACAAGTATTTCAGTCGCTTACCTCACAGCCGAACCGCGCGATGGCCGCATCGAAACAGTTTTGGAGCTCTTGCATTCGATTCTGGATAATATCAGGAAACCGAATAACCATTGGCAGCTGGACGTTTCTGCGCTTGAGAGAGTCCACCAGCTCAAAAAGGTCAATGGTTTCCGCACCTGCGAGTCGCAACCGCGAAATTCGTTAAGAAGTTGCGAAAAACAGCACCCAGTGCTTGCATATACCAAAGTTTACCGTCATCGGATGCGTCTGGTGAAACAACGACATGACCCTTCTCATTTACGGCAAAGTATGATGCTCCCCAGCCTTCGACCTTATAAAAAGAAGCGGAATCTTCCGTAGACCATGATCGTTGCGTCTGTGTGGCAGCCTGATTTGAAGCTCTCACGGCAATCGACTTCGAAACAAGGGGACCACACGCAACGGAAACCTTATAGACACCTCGATGACAAGTTGGCCCAACGCGACTTTGCGAGGCGCATGCGAATAGATCGTCAAGATCACGGTCGACTGGGTAGACACTGCGAGAAAGACCAGGACTTGAATGGATGCCAGCAGCCATAGCTAGTGGTGTGCCGGGTCGAGTTTCAAGGTTGCAACCAACTCGATATTGACATCGCCTAGGCCAGCATTTGACTCAGCTTCAAATCTGCTTGGCGTAAGGTCAACGATTTCCCGAGAGATCGGAAGACATGATCCGTTTAAAACAAACCTGATTGTGAAAATTGCCAGCGTAGAGGAATCGCAGAAAAAGTCGATAGGATGTAACTGTTAACATAATGTAGCCTCACAATTCAGGGTAAGAAAGGATGTAAGATGGCTCCTACCACCTACATTTTCTGCTCCGTTAATGCCAAAAGAACAACAGTTTTAGACTAGGAAACTCAGAGTCTATAAATTAAGACCCCTAAAGGACCCCGTAATTCCCCGAATTTTGCTTATTATGGAGATTTATCACGGAAAAATGTAGCACAAAATCAAAAGTTCTGCTCATGCATTGTTATCATATAGTAAAGCTCTGCTCTAAACGAGAACTCTCATATTTTTTATGGAGATCCTTGTAGCGAGCTTTTGGAGGCGACTTCTGGGAAGCGCCAAGCCGACAGTTTTGGCCGTGAGCAACGGTCACTTATCACGGCGCGACACGAGAGGCGCCCGAAGTCGCCGTCACTGCCAGAAGTCACGCACTCCGCGTTGTGCCTGCCCACGGAGTTGAGCGCTAGTCAGGTTTGGAATACAGAACTGCACAGACTGCGGTTCCAAGTCATGAAGAGGGACAATGGGTCAGTAAATTTCCTCGTTTGGGGGGCAGACGATCCCCGCCCCTGTTTCGTGATCCATCCGAAGGCCGGAGTGAAAAAGTTATATTAAGAATCTGGTCCTTGGTTCTAACTGGTTGATGCGTTCTCCAGTGGTTCGCATGCTCTGAAATAGTACAGTAGCATGCAAAAACTAAGAATTTTGTTTACTGATGGGTGCTGCACGTCTCAGTTTTGGTTAAAAACGTATTACCTCTGGGGCTTGAAGCAAAACATAAAGCAGGCGTGCCCGTGAAAGGTGATGCACAAGTTCTGAGGAAATGACGAACCGCCCCGGTTTCGGATTTCCGATTCCTTTGGGCAGTGGCTTTGACACCGCCTCGCTTTTCCGCTCGCGTCCGATTCCTTGGGGCAGCTGATTTCGACATTTCCAGTTTCCGGTGACCAGAAAAATTATTAAGTTTACCTGGTATTAGTCTAGTGGCCAGTAAAAAAAATAAACCCCTTTCGGAGGGCTGGCCATTAGGGAGGCATCAACCCTAAACACCTTGCCTCATGGTGTTTAGGGTTGATGCCTCCCTGACGGCGCCCCCTCCGTGAGGGGTTTATATTTTTTGTCCCATTAAATAAAACAAAGTTGTAGTTTCTGGACTCCAAATGGGAAAATAGCGTAATTTACTGACCGAAGGTATCGGACGCGAGCGCGAAGCGAGGCGCTGTCAAAACCACTGCCCAAAGGAATCGGAAACCCGAAACCAGGGCGCTCCGTCATTCCCTCACAAGTTCTTCTCCAACGGGTAGGATTTTCCCGCGTTCCCCAACACACACACACACACACCCACAATGGTTGGCGGGAAACAGGGAGTGAAATAAAACCATGGGCTCTGTCACGCGATTCGGGTGAAATTCGCCTGTGAGCCTTGTTGAGGTGGGAGAAGCCTGCCTCCGGTGCCACTCCATCGGAAGCTTGCCTTCTAGGCCCAGCAGGGCTAAGCACTACGGATGCTTGCTTCACAGCCCAATCGTCATTCCATTCCGCAATCCGCTGCTCGCGGGTTCAGCACACCAGACGGCCTAGGGTGCGCGAATTGAATCAGAGGTGCAAGACTGATCTCTCTTTCCTTCCTGTTTGTTTATCGAGATCTTTTGCCTCTAAGCAGAACTATGACCGTGCGACAAAATCATTCTCGATCACAGTACTATTCTGTAGCAGATCATTCCCGTACTTAGGTAGCACGATAAGGACCTTCTAGCCCGTAGCAGACTTCGATCTACTCTCAGATTGTGCTTGCCGTCACCATGGGAGCCATAACACTCTTCGGCGTGACCTTTTCCCTTGCAGCCATCATCGGGATTAGTGCGGGAATCCTCGCCGTCATCCTCATCATCCTCTCCCTCCTCACCTGCTGCTGCTGCTACATGTGCCGAGGCCGCAGTCCCAAGCGGCGTCGATTAGATGAGATAGCTCCAGCACCCATGTACCCGCCGGCCATGTCAGCCGCTGGTCCTGGCGTGTACGCTAAAGGCATGGGCCCACGCGGAGCGCTACCACCGGGGCCGTATCCTCACAGCTTGTCGCACCAACAGATGATGGGCGGCACGGAGATGCTTCCCCCGCGCTACATCCCTCCGCCCTCGCCCGCCGCGCTCATGCAGAGTCCCATGAGACCGCTGCTCGGCGCACCGCCCCCCGCAGGGAAGCCCGGCGCAGGCGCGCAGGAGGAGGGCGTGGTGGCCAAGTGGGAGAAGGACTTGCGCGCGGGGATGTTCCGCAAGGTGGGGCTGGCGGAGGTGGAAGCGGCCACGGGGAAATTCAGCAAGCGCGCGTTTCTTGGGGAAGGCGCGTTCGCGGCGGTGTACAAGGGGCGGAGTCCGTCCGGCGTGCCGTGGGCAGTGAAGCGGTCGAAACGGAGACTGACGGAGGGTTCCGCCGGCGCAAGCGATTTCGAGAACGAGGTGATGATGATTTCGCGACTGTCGCACAAGAATCTCGTACGGCTACTGGGTTACTGCACCGAGGGTGGCGAACATATCCTTTTGTACGAGTTCGCGGAAAATGCGACGCTGTCGCGCGCTCTGGGTCGCTCCCAGCCTCCGTTTCTGTCGTTCGCGCAGCGGCTGGAGATCGCACTGGGAACAGCGGAAGGGCTACACTACCTACACAACGCGTCGTCGCCGCCCATCGTGCACCGCGACATCAAGCCCGACAACATCCTGCTGGACGGCCAGATGCGCGCCAAAGTGGCCGACTTCGGGCTGCTCAAGAACATCATGGAAGGCGGCGGCGCGGGCGAGGTCGTTTCGTCCGTGTACACTCGCGTCGCGGGAACCCCAGGGTACCTGGACCCCGAGTACCACTGCACGTCCAAGGTGACAGTCAAGGGCGACGTTTACAGCTTCGGCGTGGTGCTTCTGGAGCTGTTCACGGGTCAGCGCGCGATCATGATGAACAGCCGCAAGCCCGGCGGCGGCGACGGCGCGAACCCCGTGCACATCTCGCAGTGGGCCGCGCCGCTGGTGGCGTCCAAGGCGCTGGACGAGCTGGCGGACCCGAAGATGGGCGGAGAGTTCGAGCCGGCGGTGCTGCTGCGCGCGCTGGAGATTGCGCTGCTGTGCGTGCGCCCGTCGTCGAAGCAGCGCCCGGACATGGGCGCGGTGGTGCGCGGATTGGCGGAGCTGCGCGAGCAGATCATGGCGCGCGACGAGCCACCGGAGACGTTCGTGGAGGATCACGCGCGCGGGCTGGATGACCCCGACTCCGACGAGGAAGCGGAAGCAGCGCAGGCGGAGCAGGGGCGGGCGGAAGGAAGCATGCGGGTGGGCGAGGAAACGGATGCGCCATCGCAGGAGTATTCGCGGGGAATGGCGGAAGAGGAGGCGGAGGAGGAGAGGGAGGATGCAGAAGGGGAGGACGGGCTTATTGGCGCAGCGGACGAGGAGCAAGGGCTAGTCGGCGGAAGCTACCGCGGCAGTGACATTGGCGCGGGACCGAGGCAGCTGTCGGGCCGGCGCACTGCCTCGGGCCGTAGCGGGCTGGAAGGTTCGGGAAGGAACCTCGGGAGTGCCTCGGGCGCTGGCTCGTCTGGGCGGAGGACAGAGGGCGAGCCCGGCGGCGTGAAGTACAGCGCGGGAGTGGAAACGTTCGACTCGGAGGAGGAGCGGGCGCATGGCTTGGACCCCAGCAGCAGGCAGTATGGCGCTCCGGAGGCAGCGAACACAAGGTCAAGTTACTATGACAGTGGGTTTGTGTACCCCGTGGGTGCGTTTGGGAACGCGTACGACAGCGGGTGGATGCCGCCGCATGGGGGCGACCGCGGGGAGGATGGCGAGCGAGCCGGAAGCCATGTGGTAGTGAACCTGGGCGCAAGCAGCCGGCGATGAAGGGTGGGTAGTTCCCAAAGGGATAGTGTAGGCTTCGGACAAAAGAAGCAGGCTAGATTCGGGGATAGTGCCTGGTGAGGATACTTGGAAGCATATGAGGGGAGTTGGTGTGAGCCAGTGCTGCTGCCAAGGAGACTGGTGGAGACTGCTGTCATTGTGCTCTGCTGTGATTGTGGTGAGGGGAGGTTACTGGCAGTACTCCCACTGCCGTTAGTGTGATCATATCTTTCATCTGTGTTGTCTTCCCCAACCTAACTTCTCTTCCAGCCTTCCACCGCAACTGTCCTTTTCCTCATTCACTGCTGAACCTCATTGATGCCATGTAATTTGGGTACCGTAGATGTTTATTCAATTGTGATTGTGAGAACCTTGGTATACTGAGGTCGTCTGCAAGGAAATCTTGCTCCACAATGTGTACAACAGCATCGTTTGTGTAAGGAACAGGCCCTCAGATTCGTATTTTGCCTGTCTGATTGGTCAGAGTTAGTACACTGTGTTAGTCTGTTTTGGTCAGAGTTGGTTGGAAAAAAAGGCTGAAACTTCAGAGCGTCCTAAAAAAAAAGTCTGATGCATTCAGAGTCTACCACATGCCAGAGTCTGAGGTGTTGTACTACTCACGGTTGGCCTACACTACATACATACTACTAGCACATAACAGTTAAGAGTCAAAACTAGTAGCTACAGAGATCCTACCTATCCTATCTACTCTAGGCTACTCATCAAATCCATCATCATCACCATCGGATGCATCATCATCATCCTGCTCTACGTCTTCTACTTCCATCACCTCCTCTGCCTCCTTGGCCTCCTTCTGCTGCTTTCCTGCAGGCGGGAGAGAAGCGTTGCTGTGGGGCTTGCGCTTCTTGTAGGCCCTCCAGATGGTCACGATTTCCTCCCAGTTGGGTTCGTAGTCCATGAGGCT